TATGAGAATTGCACAGAAGTTAAAATTTGGCATCTTCCAGAATGAATTTTCATAGAAATTGCCAAAAGCAGATAGAAAATACCTAAGATGCTTTGGGCAATTTGTTCCAGGGTCTTATCATGCTGCTTCTTAGAGCAGTCTGGATGCGATAGTCAAGGAGGTTTCCTTGGTGAAGTGTGGTATGAACTGGAGGTAAACTGGTTACTGTAAATCACAGAGTGGGTATATATTTAATAGAAATAAAAGCAATATCTCAAGGAGGTATATCTACTCCCATGTTCATTGCAGAATTATTCACAACAGCCAAAATATGGAATCAACCTGTGTCCTTTGAGGGTAGAATGGATAAAGAAAATGTGGCATATATACACAACAGAATATTATTCAGCCATAAAAAAGAAGGAAATCCTGTCATTTGTGACAACATGTATGAACTCAGAGGACATTATGTTAAGTGAAATAAGCTGGGTACAGAACAAGAAATGCTGTGTGATCTCACTTATATGTAAAATCTAGAAAAGTGAGACTCAAAGAAATAGAAAGTAAAATGGTGGTTGGTGGGTTTAGGGTGAGGAAAATGGGAAATGTTGGGCAAAGTCATAGTTATTCAGGATGAATAAGTTCCAGAGACCTAATGTTCAGCATGGCAACTATAGTTAACAATACTGTGTTGTATATTTGCAATTTGCTAAAAGAATAGATCTTTAATGTTCACCACAACAAAAAAGAAAATAGCTATGCGAGGTGATGGATATGTCACTGAACTTGATTGAGGTGCTCATTTCACAGTGTGCGCGTGTGTGTGTATATATATATATATATGTGTACACTGTAAACATACGCAGTTTTTATGTGTAATTGCACCTCAATAAAGCTAGAAAAAAAAAAGAAATCAGTTACTGCTTTCTGTTCACAGACCTTCCTCTTAAGTTTTTCAAAACCAATTTTTAAAAGTTTTGATTTTTGTTAAAGATCTATCCTGAGCTTTCCAGATAGAGGGGGAAATAGCATTTTGTGAGTTAGGGTGGAATTTTTGTTTTGTTTCATTTTTGTTTCATAACATTTGCCCCCTAAAATATCCACTGACAGTCACATTTTCATTTTGCTTTTTAGTTGATTGAGCTACAGTGTTTTAGGCTCTGGGGACACAGAGATAAATAGGAGAGGTTTCTGCTGTCATGGAGCTCATGCCATAGCACTCGGTCTAACATGCGGTGCATGAGCTGCCAGCACATCCATTATTCATGCACATCATTGAGCATTTGTACATGATGGGTGGTTTTCCATGTTCATTCATTCTTTTTTACCTATTCATCCATTTATTTATTAATTGAGGGCCCAGAACTTACCTAGGACTTCTAAATAAATGCCTTCTACAATCACCGAAGAGAGAGATCACAGCCTTCCCAAGATTTCAGTGTTCCATGGATTAATTTTTTATCTGTGGTTCCAACTTAGTGATGTTGGAACCTGGAGGTGATGAAGGCTTGCTGACAATAACAAAATCCATTGTTCTGAGGATCATGCTATTATGAGAAGTTTAAAATTTGGAAAATAGCTTTACAGAAAATAAAAATCACAATCAAAATGGATACAAGTTATTGAAGATGACTTAACCAGAATATATTCAAGTTATTAAACTTAGAGCTGGGAACTTGAGAGACCTCCTTCCCTTCCAACGTTCCAATGTCCTCTTCCAATGTGTTCCAAAGTGCAATAAAGAGAAAAACCCACTGGCTAAGAAAAATATTGCCTAGCTGTGCTGTAATTCAAAGCAGGTTTCTCAATCTTTTCCTTCTGAATTTTTTTTTTGAGTCTCAGAGCAAAAAGGGTAACCACAGGCCCTGTGAGGGAATGATCCTGCCCGAATGAGGGCTCGGAATCCAGAACCTTTTATCAAATATTTTGTCAAGACAATATTTATTTATCATAAAAATCAAATCCATTTTCTGTAGTTTCCATCTCTCTTAGCCTGCCTGTGAACCTGTGCCTCTGCATTCGATGGGTTAAAGAGCTCTTTGCTGAATGGATTTATAAACAGAAATTTGAACACAGTGGTTTAACAAGTGAGATAGAAATACATCTTCTTCTATATCCTACCTGCCCCTTCTGGCTTTTCTGTTTTTCCGAAAGGCACTACTCATTCTTTGGCCTATCAGCATGGAGCCATCTATGAACACTCTTCTTTCTTTGCTCCCATAATCCACTGGCAGAAAATTTTAAAACTCAGAAGTACAAAAAATAAATGTGAATGTTTACCTTCACTTCTCCATCCTCAGTAGGTCTTTAAACTCAATTACTTTTAACCATTTGTATTTTTAATTCTTATGCTTTACCCCCAATACTCTGAGTAATATATTCATACCTCTGCTAATTAATGTGTTGACCTTAGATATAGCATCTATTCATTCCTTACAATGAAAGAATAATAATTAACTTGCTTATACTACCCAACTTTTACCCTCCACATTTTTTGTTTTGTGCTATTTATATTTGTTCTATTGCTTCTCTTTATAAAATACTTAAACTTCTTCTAGAGAAATTATCAATTTTAGAAGATATTGCTTGCCTTACTATGAAAGACCAGGAAATAATCGTGCCTGTACTTTTTCCACTTTATTTCCTCCATGTAGCTTCTCTGAGCTATGCATTGCTTTCTATTCACTTTGCTTTCCTTAATTCTTTCCCCGTTTTCCTACCTTTGATTATGGTGATCAAGTTTTCTCTGTTCCTCGGATCTTTTTACTGATTTGAAAAGTTATACATACACTTTATATTCTTTTTAAAGGTTACCCTTAAAATTTTAATATGCATGTTTCATGTGACCTAACATTAATCCATGTCTCTATCCTTTTCTGAAAGAAGGTCAAATCATAAAATGCTTTAACCCAAACTCCTTCTTCCTGTCTTCTCTGTTAACTATTATTTGAAATTTTAGTTGAACTTAGTTTTATAACTTCCCCAAAGAGATCATTTAGATTTACCAAATGCGAGAGCCTGGGAGGTGCCCTGCTCAGATGTCCCTTTAAGTGAGAACTTGTGGCAAGGAGTGTAGTGAGCTGGCAGCCTGCATTTGCTGTACCTTCAGGATCCATGGCAGTGTTCATGCCGAAGCTCTGCTCTGCGTGGGCCGTCTCCAGCCAGTGGCTGAGCTCAGGAGGAGCATGCAAACCGATCATTGCTGCCTGACATGGGACTCCTTCACAGGCTGCTTTGCTCTGCCTTCCTGCACTGGCCTGAGACTCTCAGAGATGCACTGCTGCCTCAGGCTCTTCCTTTCCAATCCTTCTTCATTTCCACGTCTCCTTTCACAGATGTCAGATCTGTGTTATGGTCTGAAGGATTTCCCTGACTACTCTTGCTTCATCTCTGCTTTCCTTTCCATGGGATTTCTCTGCAACAGATCTCTTGCATTTCTGATTCCATGATGGTGTGTCTGCTTCCTGGAGAGCTCAAAATGACACCAGTGTTTTCTAATCATTCCTTTGCTCCCTTGAGCTTCTCGTAGTCCTGCCATCTGTTCAGGCTGGATGCTTTCTTAGCGCACCATTCTCATTATCCTTAGTTTGTCCTACAAAGTCCTGTATGACCAGGTACCTCCTTACTGTCCAACGTCATCCTCACCCCATCAGTAAATATAGCTCAGCCTCATAGCCCTCCTTTTAGCTTCTCAAATGAACTAAGCTCTTTCCTTCTTGAGAGTTTTTCTGTGCTGGCCGCTCTTCCAGGAACCCTCTTCTCCCAGTCTTTATAGAGCCAACTCCTCATCTTTACATCTCTTGTATCATCTCTTCAGGGATGCTTTTCTCTGATCACTCCCGTTCTGCAGCTTTTTTATGTGGTAACACAGCAGCTGGTTGTTTTTATTTCCAAAATGATATTTTGCAATTATTTGTCTCTTTCCCACTAGGTAGCAAGCAGAGATTATATTCGTTTCATTCACCACTGTAGACTTAGCACTTAGCACAGGACCTGGGACAAAACAGATAGTAAAGATCTATTTTGTGAGTGAATAGTCCCCTCTTTCATGTTCACTGACACCATTCTTACCTCTTGTCTGTTCATTGCTGTAATGTCCTTAACAGTCTTACTATTCACGACAGCTAGATTAGTCTTCCCTGAGTATAGCCCCTTTTAGTGTTCATTTCTGCTCAAAAAGCCACCAAGGAGTTCCCATTCCTCGTGACTTAGGTACAGATGTCTCAACCTGGCACTCAAGGAAGCCACAAGGTCTCTCTTTCTAGCCTCATCTCCCTATGATGGTCTCTCGCTCAAGTCAAACTGGACAATCACCAGTCACCAAGCACATTCTGGGCTTTCTTCTCGCCACATCTTGGGCTATGCTAGATTGATCACCTGACTTTTTCTCCCCATCCCTCTTCCATCTCACTTATGTTTTTGAGTCAAAACCTATGTGGACCCTCCCAGTGGAAATTCTTCCTCATCATTCTAAATTAATGTGCCAGATTTTACTCTAAAATCCCATGGCCCATTGTTTGAGATTTAAGGCACTTTCAAACTTACTTTATATTAAAATGATTGTTTACTTGCCTTTTCTTAACTTTACCAAAATCTGTGATCCTTCATGACAGGGACTCTTTTATACGTCTTTTATGGCCTCTACAGCACTGAGAATATGCCTTCTTACTCTTACATTTTTATTTTTAAAATGTTACTTTTATTTGTAAATAATACTTTAATATAATTACCACTTTATTTTTATGAATATAAAATAATATATATATTATGGAAGACAGGAGAGACATAAAATATCAGAGAATAAGAAATAAACTGCAATTGCATCACCGGCCAATCATCATTTCTTAGCATTCTATTGTGTCTCTTTTTGTTTTCATTTTTCAATAGATAATGTTTGTATTAGCAGAGATCATATTGAATATACAATTTTGTGTTTTGGAGAGTTCCAAGAGCATTTGAAAAGTCTAGTTCTAAATTTTCTCTTTTTTTTTTTCTAGAAAATACTCAAACAATAGGAGAACTAAAAACAACAACAAGAAAGTAAACCTCAAAATACATTTAATCAAAAGTAAGAGAAAAAAGAAACCCAAGAAAATCCCAGATTTCTTTTAAGTGCTGCCAAAAGCAGAGCTGAACAGGAAGCCCATGTTGTTTCTTCAGGTAAGACCAGAGGTTTCAAGGGGCAGTAAGGGCTTGAAGTTCTCAGAGCTGTCCAGTGAATATTCCTTTTGAACAAGAGGTCTCCACTCTGAAAGGGACAAGATAGAGCAGAGCAAGTTGTTTTGCTGAAGGAGGCAGAGGCTGGGTGCGGTGGCTCACGCCTGTAATCCCAGCACTTTGGGATCACCTGAGGTCAGGAGTTCAAGGCTAGCCTGGTTAACGTGGTGAAACCTAGTCTCCACTAAAAATATAAAAATTAGCTGGATGGGGTGGCACATGCCTGTAGTCCCAGCTACTCAGGAGGCTGAGGTGGGAGAATCGCTTGAACCCAGGAGGTGGAGGTTGCAGGGAGCTGAGATTGTGCCACTGCACCCTAGCATGGGTAACAGAGCAAGACTAAATCTCAAAAAAAAAAAAAAAAAAAAAAAAAAAAGAATTTAGAGAGGGAAGATTCAGAGCACACCCTGGGGCCCTGGGAGTCCACAGGTGGCAATTCTTAGACAGCAATTGCAAAATATGACTTCCAAAATGGTGTGACAAGCAAGAACAATGTGGGGAGTTCAGAAGCCCGGGGCCAGTGGTAGAAACTCTCTTGAACAAAGCTGTGCCCTGAGACCTTGTTTGTGGCAATGTTTGATTATTTTAGATTGAGTTATAGGCAATGTGTATAGAAATTTTAGAGATAATTTGGATAGATAGATAATGTTATGTTTTTTCTAAGAGAGTTTTTTTTTTTGCTTTTGACAGGCATTTAGGTTACAGAGAATTCACCTTAATTCAATTCAGGATTGAGCTGCTTTGAAACTAGGTTTTATTCTTTGTGATGACTGGTCTACTTATGATTCACCCTGATTCTTAGATTCTTCTTCCTTGGTTGACCTTTGTAGTAGTGTCCTAGGGCTTCTGTGTTAGGCTGTTCTTGCATTGCTATAAAGAAATACCTGAGGCTGGGTAATTTATAAGGAAAAGAGATTTAATTGGCTGATGTTTTAGCAGTCTGTACAAGCATGGCTCCAGCATCTGCTTCTGGTGAGGGCCCCAGGAAGCTTACAATCATGGCAGAAGGTAAAGGAGGAGCAGGCATATCACGTGACAAAAGCAGGAGCAAAAGAGAAGGGGAGGTGCCACACACTTTTAAACTGCTAGCTCTCATGAGAACTCACTCATTCATTATCACAAGGGCAGCACCAAGCCATGCATGAGGGATCTGCCCATGACCTGAACACCTCCCACTAGATCCCACCTCCAACATTAGGGATTACATTTCAACATGAGATTTGGAGAGGACAAACATCCAAACTATATTAGCCGCCATAAAATATTTACCATGAAGGTGGCTTAGAGCAACAGAAATTTATTCTGTCACAGTTCTAGAGGCTAGAAGTCCAAAATCGAAGTGTTGGCATGATCGTGCTCCCTCTGAAGGCTCCAGGGAAGAAGAATTCTTTGCCTCTTTCTAATTTCTGGTGGTTGCAGAAATCCTTGGCATTCCTTGGCTTGGAGCTGAATCACTGCAGTCTCTGCTTCCATTGTTACATGACCTTCTGCCCCGAGTGTCTGTCTTCATGTCTCTTCTCTTACAAGGATTCCAATCATATTGAATTCACGGCACACCCTACTCTACAATGGCCTCATCTTAGTTTTTAAAGATCTTTTAAACAACCGGATCTCATGAGAACTCACTCACTATCACTATCACAAGGATGGCACCAAGTCATTCATGAGGGATCTGCCCCCATGACCTAAACACCTCCCACCAGGGCCCCACCTTATAAGTAATGGCAAAAACTACAAATTATCTTTTGCATCAACCTAATAATTACAACTGTAAAAACCCTATTTTCAAAAAGTTAACATTCTGAGGTTCTAGGTAGACATGAATTATTTTATTTTATTTTTTTTTTTTGAGACAGAGTCTCACTCTGTTGCCTAGGCTGGAGTGCAGTGGTGCCATCTCAGCTCACTCCAGCCTTCATCTCCCAGATTCAAACGATTCTCATGCCTCAGCCTCCCTAGTTACTGGGATAACAGGCACCCGCCATCATTAACTTTTTTGGGGGGAACACTATTCAACTTAATGCAATCTTGAACTCCATTTTTGGCTCTAGCCCTGTGAAAGTTCTGAAAATCCTGTTCAACTTCTTAGTGTTTTAGCCATTACTTCTGAATGAACAAATGCCTTGAGGGCATATGTGCACCAAATGTCTGGCTTACCCTTCTGTGTTTCTTTTCTTAAGTTTGTTTGTTTGTTTTATTTTTTAATGGGGGAAGGTTAGCTTGATACAAGCTTATCAATCATAGCCTGAAACGGGTGTCTATTATAATGTTTTGATTTAATATTTTCCGTTATAATTTTCATTGCTCTTTATTCCTCCTTGAGTATTTAATTTCCATTTTGTATCATTTCCATTCAGCCTGAAGAACTTTCTTTAGATTCCTTGTAGTATGGAGTCTAATTTTCTCTGCCAATTTTCTAATGAAAAATTATCTTGTGTTTTTTTTTTTTTTTTTTTTTTTAACTTAAAATGTCTTTACTTTGTCTTATTATTGAAGGATATTTTGTGGGGTATGGATTTCTGGATTGACAGTCTTTTTTTAAAAATCACTTAAAAATGTTGCTCCACTCTCTTCTGGCCTTCATAATTTCATAGTGAGGAGTTGACTCATAATTGAAGCACTGTCCTCCTATATATAATGCCCCATTTTTCTCTTGCTGTTTTCCAGCTTTACTATTTATATTTGGCTTCTGACTGTGACTCCTAACTTCCAAGTCTGACTCTGATGTGTCTCATGTGGTTATCCTTCTTGGTATTCATGGAGCACTTTGGATCTGTAAATTTATGTCTTTCATCAAATTTGGAAAATGTTTGGCTGTCACTTTTTCAAATAGTTTTCTCCCCATTTTTTCTTGATTCTCCTGTTTCTGGGACTATAATTCATGCATGCAATTAGGTTTAACAGGTGCCGGAAGCTCTGTTCATTTTTTTCCCCCAATCTTTCCCCCACATTGCTCTATGTGCCCATTGGATTACAAATGCAGAAATGCTCTAAGTAAGTATATGTGTAATTGCAAATAGGAAACAATGTGTGCTAGAGTAATGAATAGTTATGTAAGTGTGGCAATAAGGAAAAAGATATACAGATATATGAGGAGAGGGTAGTCTTATCAATGAGCCCATTGAATTTTTCCATCTCCCAGATAAAATATTTATTGTAATTGGCAGAAATATGAACGAACACACAACGAATAGCATATTAAATAAGTTTTATTGAGAAGTTAGGGGAAGAAATCTAATTTCCATTTTGTAAGAACACCTACTAGTATAGCATTCATTTGTGAGTTCTCTTCCCACTACTACCCCATCTATTTAAGTTGTGATATACTTTTTATTGAGGAAGGTTTTGGTTAGTACAGTGTATTAGAATGGAAATGTGCTGAGGCAGGAGAGATGGAAGCAAGTTTGGAGATTGTCACATAACTCAGAAAAATCAAAGGGAGGTAAACTAGGAGGCTCCAGTCTTGCTAACCTGGGAACAGAAAAGTAAAAGCAGTATGGAAAGACGATAACTTTTCTGTAGAAGTCAAAAGTTATTCTCAGGATTTTATGTATATGTAATTCCATAATTAGAAATTATATAACTGTTCTCAACTTCATCAGTTTTTAAAATTGTTATTTCTCTACTTAATCAGTTTTTAAATAATCCTTCTAGATTTCCTCTTCTCCTTTAAAATTCTATAAATCCTGTTTCATCATCATGGCTTTGTTCATGTGTATTTGGTTAAAGGCAGAGTATGGATGCTTTAAAATATTTGAAGACAAAGCTCAAATAACTCTCTAATAATACTCATATCCAAACACTGACCCAAATAGGGCTAGCTTGATACACTCATGTACACAAGGGCATTTATCTCAAGGGAAAGATGTTGCTATATGTTTTGAAACTTTTTTTGTTAAAACATATTAATTTTTAATGTAGTAGAGTAAATTGGTTATAGCATAAATGTAAATAAAGCTGTCCTCTACCCCCAATCCATTAATGCTCAATTTAAATTTAAGAATTTCAAGATAAACTAATCAGGAACAGTTTTTCTCAAATCAAGCCAACCATCAAACTCCATTTGAAAAACACATTTTCCTCCTTTATTTGAGAGTAGCATTGATCCTTCACTTGTTGCTTTATTTGTGAGCAAATGAAAGCATCTGAGGGGCAGGGAAGCCCCTGGGAGTGTGACCGTCTTACAGACATTAAGCCTGCAGGTGGAGTCCTGGATCTCCTGACGTGGGGCTTAGTCCTGAAAAGGGCCTCTCTTTCCCACTCCTGGGAGTGCTGACCTCTGAAGTGGGGAGTTTTGGGAAGTGGAGCCAAGAGAGGAGTTTAGATCCCCTGGAGACCTTATGGGGAATACTTTGGTTTCCCTTGAGAGCTCTCGCACCTTGAGCTCTTCCACCTTCTTGTTTGTCGCAGGGAGTCAGGGAGAGGTGTGGCTGTCAGTGAGACTAGGGCTCGAGTCTTGATGCAGACACCAGGGAGGAAGCTCTTGCTGAGTCTCCAGTAGGTGGTTCTTGTCTAGTTTCCTAGCTATGGGTTGTGACCATCATTTGCTAAAACTTTAGGGAAGAAGGAGTGCTCAGATGTTGAGGAGTCCTGACTATGTAACTCCTGGTTTGCTCACGGGTAAGCAGGCCTTCTTCTTTGTGCCCAAGTCTCTTGCTTTCTTATTGGTCTCAGTCTCCTTTCAACACTTCTTTTCACAACTCTTAGGGCTTGGGTCCTTATCTTAACGCTCAGTCTATGGAACCTCAGGAAACAATCTAACATCAACCATTTGCCTTTTATGGGGTTGGGATGGGGGTGGGTAGTTCTTTTATTTAAGACTTAGATCCCACTGTGAGAGAGCCTTTGCTTGCTACTAACCAAATTAGTAGTAGGTATTTGGGAGAGAAATTGGTTCATCTAATCTATTTAAGAGAAAAGTTGACTTTAGAGTGAGGATGTAATCCCGAAAGTTTGTGTATGAGTTGTGAATTTTTAAAATGTGATCTTTAGGTGCTCAGGCGTTTCTGGTGGAGGTGCTAGATGAGCTGAGTTGGCAGTTAATTGGAACTTTCCTGTTGCAAAACCGAAAATCTCAACACAGCGTTTCCTGATGACCTGTTTCACTGTCTTATTTGTCTCATAGACTACGCACTACTTGCTCAGGTGGTGCACCAATACTTTGCTAAGGAAATTCAATCTCCTAGTGCAGTTTCTAAGACATATTTATTAATTGAGGCTGACTCACCATCCCAGAGTTGTAATATCATTAAAGGCTGTCCAATGACATAAGTCTTGAAAATGTTCCTTCAATTATTTGCACTAGTCCATTTACCCTGCTCCTCTTGTCTCCTGGAGCTGCAATCCTAGCTTAATCCCAAATTTGGACATTCATCTATTTATTCATTCATTCACTCAGTTCAAGCATTTAATATTTATTGGGTGTCAGCTCTTGTTGCTGTGCTAAACCCTCAGGGTACTAAGTTGAGTAAAACCTCAGAATTCCATAATCGGTGGAGACCTTAGAGATCATCCAGTGAAAAGCAAGAAAATCAGGATAAAATATCTCATCATGCATGAAAAAATAGCTTCTCTGCTCAAGAGAGGTGAGAAGCCAAGAATAACTCCATGTGCCAATTTCCCAGACTCTGAGAATTTTATAGGCTTAAAGTGCCACGGAGATTCTGTTGTCGTTTATGCTTTTTTTTTTCTATTTGTATTACAGTTAACAAGATCAACCTTGCTGGGAAATGAACAAGTGACCAGGTGAGCTCAAGAGTCCTTTCCTTTCCCCCCAAACTTACGGATTTCTCAAATAGAAACTTAGGTCATTGCATATTTTAGGGATGCTTAAATAGACTTAAAGCTAACAGGGGTGTTAACTGAAATCTTTCCCTTTTTGGAAAAGTGAGGGAAGAGAAAGGACTGGAGGGCACAGATAATTTGGGTGAAGGGTTTCCACTCAGAAGGGAAAGTGAAAAATTTGGATGAAGTCAGTTTTATTCATGAGCTAGTAGCCTGTTAAACAGAATTATAGTTAAACTTGTGTTAATACAGCTAAATGCAGATCTTTACATACTTAAACTACCCAGAGAGTTGCTTGTTAGAATAGTGAGCTAATATTTAAGGGAATGGGTTTGAATATTAAAAATGCTCTGCAATGGCAATTTTTATTGTGATTTGAAATGCTCATCTCTATTCCCTATTTAGGAATTAGTGGATGATAGTCATGTTCTTTTCTGACATTTGTGAAACACAGCTTTCTTCTCTAGAGTTCTCCTATTCCTAGAACCTGTGCATGTGCATGCGTGCACACACACACACACACACACACACACACACACACCATTAAAAAGGAATAATAATTCAGGATTTCTGAACACCTTTATTTAGGCAATTTTATGTCAAAATGATAAAATGTATTACATGTCCTTTTTAATGAAAGAGAAAGCAAACACTAAAAGATATAACATCTGCTGGAAATAGAATCTAAATTAAAAATTTGTGTAGACATAAGGACGAAGGGACAAAATATAGGGGCAGGAAGTATGACAAGATGTTAGTGTTAAAAATAATTTTTAAAAACATCATGGCTGATGGCAAGTACATAGATGAAATATTTTTGGAATAAAGAACTCATTCTGAATCTTATCTGAAGATTGACAGCAGTGTTTATTTGCTCAAGGCATAATCAATCTTTTAATAGATTCCCACTGAGTTTTCAGATTTTAATAGATGGAAAGGCCATATTCACTGACTATTTGAGGATTGAAATTTTCTTTCAGGAATAGTCATTCTTACCTGAATTATTAAAATGATTAATCCCTTACAAGTGACTAAGAACCACTGCTTACTTATTTCCCACTTTACTCATCTAAAGGAGGTTTGTGTTTATCAGCTGATATAATGTAGCCCCTTAAGTGAACAATATCATCCAGTCGTTTTGGTAAGACACCTTCTGTTTGGGACAGGAAATAGAAAACTAATCAGAAGGCAGATTTGTTTTACCTAACGAGGAAGAGGTATCATGAGGATCAAGTGAGAAAAAAGTATATTGAAAGATTATAAAGCACATAACGAAATGCAAGATGAAATTATGCTGTCTGATGACTCGTGCACAGCTGCAGCAAAATGCAGTGTTGTATAACCCACAAGTTTTGGAAGCTAGTCCTGTAGGTGGGTAAATGAGACAGCCTCCGATGTGGTATAATTTCAAGATTTCCTTAAGCTCTACCTACTTCCTCAACAATAGAACCACAGCTTTGGACTGAGATGTTGGCTCCAGAAAGCCTCTGTTGAAAGGACTTTCCTACAAGGTAGAGAAAACAAATGAACTGACTTTATCAGACTAACCAACTCTCACCTAAAGAAAGCCTATGAGGGAGGGAAGCACAGGACAGATAATTTTTGAAGGCATGAATGTGAGATTAAGATGGAAAGTTCCATGCATGCAGGTTAAGATGGAAAGTTTATTCTGGGGAGGACAAGCCCTCAGCAGTATCCTGGTTGGAGGTTCTGGTAATCTAGGGACAGCGTGAGAGCACTGTGTCACTTGTCTGGAAAAGAAGATAGAGGAGAGGAAGTTTGCAAGTGAAGGACACACCCAGGGCCTACACTGCCTGTGCCACAGTTCAGCTGCAGCCCAATCCTGCGTGCCTGACCTCAGTTCATTGATCTCTGAGCGTGCCCATTCTCTTCATAAAGCACCTTTGTTTTCTGCCCAGTGCACAAACATCACGACCCGTGTCTGAGAATGTTGGGAATTTTATTAGGTCCATAAAGTTTTAGCTGTGGTCTAGTCCACCGAGGCCAAAATAAATAAATAGAGAGAGTGTAAAAGTAACATTAAAAAAAAAAAACCTGGCTTAAAGAAAGAAAAACTACTGAAGCTCTAAAATAACTTTGTCACAGTGGTTTTAGAGGGGATTTCTCCTTACCAGCTAAGAACTCTGTAAAGTGCAGGCTGAAAAACTGCAGTATAATTGCAGCCAACAAATTCACTTTTCAGATTGCTCTGAGAATATTCTGTTCTATGGAGTTAGGTTTAGAGGTTAAAATGATTGACAACTGATTGGCCACAGGCCTAAAGCTAACTGGATAAAAAAGCAAAATGCCTTGACTCTAAGAGTCAGGCTTTCTGGGAAAATACTAAAGATAGAATTAATTACTATTGATAATGTAATGCATTTCCCAGTGAACCCTTTCTCTTATCTACTTTCTTAAGGTTCAAAATTCATATCATTCAAATTTTCTCCTGCTTATGTCTTTAGAGTCATAATAATAATATTAATTATGATTACTATTAAATATAATAATGATTTGAGTGCTTATTATGTGTCAGGCACCATTCTAAGAACTTGAAATGCATTAGTTAATTTACTTCTCACTATGTAAATTAGCTACTGGTATTATCCTTCATTTTATAGCTGAGAAAACTGAGAGACAGACCAGTGAGGTGACTTGCCTTAGGTCTCAGAACTAGGAAGTTGAGAACCTGGAAAGAAAAAATATATATCTAGCTATGAGCTCTTAATGAACTCTTAAGCTCATGAAAACATTACAAATGAATTTGTAACTACACTCCTTGCTTGGTGTCTTTCCGCATTGTCATCATTATCAAAATCCTTTTTGGGTGTTTGGTATGTGTCCTAAGAATGCAATTAATTAGTAGTGGAAAAATTATAATGTTGAGTGGAAAAAACAAGGTTCAGAACAATAGTAGAATATGATGCCCCCTGTGTAAAATTTAAATTTCCATACTTAAAACGCCATAGAATGTTCATATCACATATGGGTGTTTGTAAAAGCCATATCAACTTCATGAAAGTAGGGCTTTCTGGTCCATGAGGAGGGGAATGGAGGGGTTGGTGGTGAGTCTAGAAGCAATAACTTGAAATAGGGACAGTCGTTAATTCTGAGTGAAATGACTGTTGTTCTCTGGACTTTTTGTATTTCTTAAATTTCTATTACAATTTTTTTTAGAGATAGAGTCTCACTATATTACTCAGGCTGGTCTCAAACTCCTGACCTCAAGCAATCCTCCCTCCTCAGCATCTTGAGTAGCTAGGGTTACAGATGACAGCCACCATGCCTGGCTAAATTTCTAAAAATATGATAAGCAGGAATATATATGAAGGACACTGATTCCTGTGCCAAAGAGGCCTTCATTTTAGTTGGAGAGTCAAGATGTACAGATAAGGAGGAGACTAAGACAAGGTGTCAAATTAGTGCCATAGCATGTAAGGCTTGCGGAGTTTCACAGGAGAGATCACTCAAGGTGAGGAGAAGTGGGTACAGCTACATGGAAGAGGGAGATGTGAGTTGGGCCTTGAAGCTTTAGCCTAGACAAGTGGAGAGGAAGGAATCCCAGGCAGAGAGCTGGACAGAAGGCCAGACTGTGGGGGGAAATCTAGCGGTGGCATTCACAGCAGTGGTGAGAGTCAAACGAGACAATGTATGCAGAACATCTAGTGTGGAGTTGGTACAATACTGATAAATGTAATTCAGGCAATACCAAACAATAAAAGAGGCATTACCCAGCCTCTGTACTGATGTTCATGATCCTCGTGGCCTATTGTTCAGAGTCACACCCAGGGGCATTTATTACCTTCATTTGAACCTCAAAGGCACCATAAGTGTTTAAGGGGTCATTTTGTTTATAAAGACAATGCCCCACTTTAAGACAGATCACAAAAATGGCCACCATATGTTTCTAGAATATCACCTCTGTTTTATCTCCAGAGCTACCTTAGAAGTGGTATGAGAAAAAACTTAGAAAACAGTTATTTTTTGGCCGGGCCTGGTGGCTCATGCCTGTAATCCCAGCACTTTGGGAGGCCAAGGTGGGCAGATCACGAGGTCCTGGCCAACATGGTGAAACCCCGTCTCTACTAAAAATACAAAAATTAGCTGGGTGTGGCAGCGCTTGTCTGTCATTCCAGCTACTTGGGAGGCTGAGGCAGGACAATTGCTTGAACCTGAGAGGCAGAGGTTGCAGTGAACTGAGATTGCGCCACTGCACTCCAGCCTGGTGACAGAGCTAGACTCAGTCTCACAAAACAAAACAAAAGAAAAAAAAACAAAAAACAAAAAAACAAAAAACAAACAAAAAAAAAAACGAAAAAGAAAACAGTTATTTTTCATTTTTCACTCAAAGGCTGTCAGAAGAGTGAGAACACACACACAACTGAAGGAGGAGGCAGAAGGAGAAAAGGCCAATGAAAGGCAAGGGTGAAGTCGTGTGATTGTTTAGAAGGAGGACAACTGTAGCCTCATTGAGTGATCTTGGAAATATTAGTTCCTGATTGTTCCATGGTTTTCTAATTGGGCAAGTAGTTGACTTCACAACTGTGGCAGCATATCTCCTCTGAGTTAGCTGAGGAGTTTGTGTATCAGGACACAGATTGTGAACAATTCTCCTTAGCTCGTTCACCTGGTATGATCATATGGGGCATTTACCACAAGGCCCCTGAAAAGGAAAATAGGTGTATTCATGGCTGTCTGGGCATTATGGCAGTGGGACACCAGACCCAACTCCTCCCGTTCCCCTCCCATCCTGCAAAACATACCCTTAGTCTTTTCCAGTACCAGTTCTCAATGTTCTCACAGTCCAGGTGTTTCTTTTTAGGATGTATGTGTTAGGTGATCGATTGGAATATGCATGGTCCCTACTGGACTACAACTTGGGTGGTACCTATTTTGTGGTTGGTCCATTTCTCTGAGGGAAGGTAAATGGATCTGAAGTGGGTCTCAGCACACCACAAGGACACTCCATTACACTCATGGTGGCAGCTCCCCACGAGCAGGGCTGGGTTCCTTTACTGGGAGTGCTTCTGCACTTAGTGCAGTTACCCTTTGTTCCTTTCATTTTTACTGGGCTCAGCTTTTCACTGGTCCTTCTCTCCTAAGACTGCCATATGGAAAGTGATATCTTAGCTCTCATTGGCTTATTTTGAGTGGAGGTAGAGCGAGGGAGTCCAATTATTATTGTCTCAATAAGAGACATACTGAGACAATAATATTGTTATCGTCTCTTGTCTATTATTTTGTCTATTGTTATTATTGAGATAATAATTAGACACCCTCACCCTACCTCTGCTCAAAATAAGCTTTAGCTTATTCAGAAAAGCGAATTTAGCAACACCAATGAAAAAACATTTTTACAGTAAATTTTGTTAATTTCTAATGTATTTTCACACACATAAACGTATCCTGTTCTGGACCTAAATATATAGAATATAATTTTTACTTCTCTTTTATCCAAGGTGAAAAAAATGAAAGTAATAGTATTCTGAAAACTTCCCCATACACCCTGCCATTCACTTTGTTTTTGTATATTCCTTATTGATGCTCACTGAGTGATCTTTGCAAGACTAGTTCTTGATTATTCCTTGGTTTTCTAATTCAGTGAGTAGTTGGTTTCACAACTGTGGCGGCATATCTTCTCTGAGTTAGTGGAGCCACTGAGATGACTCTTCAAAGAAAACCCACAGGGCTATCTGGTAGTCAATCCAAGTGGAACAACTTTAATACAGACAGTGGAAGAGGCAGTAGAGATGTCCTCAGTTCTTGTTCACAGCCCTGAAACAGAAGGATTTAAGGCTACTTGAAATTTTGGATGGGAAGAACCTAAAGTCTCTCACATATTGTAAGGTAGACTAGCAAAATATCTAAAACGTATGGAATCGGGAACTAGACTACCTGGTTAGAATCTGGCTCCTGATACTACTGGTTATGTAACCCTGTTCTTCAACGTTTTCGTGGGTAAAATGCGTGTTCCAGGCTGGGCTGTGTGGAAGCAGATGAAAAGATGGAGTTTGGTGTGCAGGGCATTGATTAGAGATCAGGACCTGTAAAAGGAAAAGGGAGGAAGGGAATAGGGCAGAGGGAGAATTCAAACAGTGATTCAGGCCTGACAGTATAGGGAATAGTCCAGTGGGGAGTCCTGGAGTGAATATTGTCCATCAGTGTTACCCCAGGTCAGGCTTCTGTGGCCAGGTCTTTCTTTCCCCAACTCATTCTGCTGACACAGGGTTCCTGTGTGAAGAACATGACTCTGGATAGGACAGCTCTGCAGTTGAGACAGACGCTGAAGGAGCTGGAGGCTACCTGCTGACCACTCTCCCCAGCAGCTGAGAAGTGAGTCCTTTTTTGGAGTGGGATCTTGGTGACAAATCTCCATGCCTATCAAAAAAGCAAGTAATAATAATACCTACCTCCATAGGGTTATGATGAGGATTAAGTGAGCTATTATCTGAAGAGTTCTTAGCTTTTGCTAAGAACCAAATAGCTTTTGCTGCTATTATTGTGTGTGCGTATGTGTGTGCAAGTGAATGTAGGCAATGTTTCTGCTCCATCACCGGAATCTTAGAGAATGATTTCTAGAATGTAGTGAACTAAAGTGAGTGTTTCCACATCTCGTTTGCTCTCTCTCTCTGTTATTGCAAATTCTGCTGCTAGAAGCTCATGGGTTATTTTATGCATTACTTTGTTATGCAATTCAGGTGGTCTTGACTTGTTAGTCTTCTGGACATTGTGAGTGTTACAAATCTTTTGAATCACTCTGGGCAGTCATGATATAAACCTTGGCCCGTTTTTCCTACTAGATGACAAAATGCGAACAGTAGGAGCCAAGCAGAACTAAGGAAGGATGTGACTTAGGTTGGGGCTCCTAGGGAAGGTTGAACAAATTGTAAAAGGAAACAAACAAACTTCTGTGCACTGAATCCTCAATTCAGACTCTGGGAGAGCAGGGGGCTCTGTAGGGCTGACTTAGATCAAGAAGCCTGGTGGTTCAGGTGCACAGAAGGCCCAGCCTAGCTCTGTAGATTGGCTGGCTTTTGAAATTCCAGACTCTGGTTCAAGTTTTACCTGGACTTGTCTCAAATGCTGTATGCTCAAGGAGCAAAGAACTTAACCCTTTGAAACTGTCTGAGGTTACTTTTCAGATTGAATTGGGTAACAAAGGACTCACTCTTGTTGACAAAGAACAGAAGATGTTTGCTTCCTGGGGCACAGTGGTTGGTACTAGGATATATTCATTTAAAGAATGAAGCTGTGAATAAAAGTTATGATTTTGGAGGAGCTCACAGTCTGAAGAAAGGGGAGCACAAACTGACAAAAATGTGTATGTAAAAATATGAACTTACATGTGAACACTGAGAGAATGGGGTCTACTTCATGGCTAGGTGAGTTCTGAAGGTGTTTTTGAGAGGAGGCTCTGAAGAGAGGAGTCTGGGAAGACTATGAGTAAAGTAAACATTTTGAAGAATGCTTTGAAGGAGGGAAAGAGATAATGACTTGTTGAAAAAGAGACCCCCTTAAGAATGCATGTTTGTGAGTTCCTTATACAGCTGAACCTTGAACAACACCAGTGTTAGGGGTACTGACCCCCCAACACAGTAAACAATTCATGGATAACTTTTGACTCCCCCAGAACTGAACTACTGATAGCCTACTATTGACCAGAAGCCTTACTAATAACGTGAACAGTGGATTAACACGTATTTAGTATGTTATATGTATTATTTATTGGATCCTTACCATAAAGTAAGCTGAAGAAAAGAAAATGTTATTAAAATCATAAGAAAGGTAAAACACATTTACTATTCACTAAGTGAGAGAGGATCATGGTAAGTTTCTTTATCCTCATCATTTATGTTGAGTAGACTGAGGAGTAGGAGAATTTTTTATTTTTATTTTGCTGTCTCAGGGGTGGCAGAGGTGGGGAGATGGAGGAGGTGGAAGTGGAGACAGGAGAGGCAGGCACTCCCGGTGTAACTTTTGTTAAAAAACATCCGTGTATAAATGGACCCGTGCAGTTAAAACTTGTCTTGCTTAAGAGTCAACTCCATGCAGAAATCATATATCTGTCACTTTGGTATCCCTAGAACTTTGCATAGCATTTGGTACATGGTAGGTCTCAAAAAATGTAGGTTGAACTGATGGCAATCACTCAGGCTACTGCGTAGGGGATGGGTTGGAGTAGATGGAGACAAAGGCAAAGAGAGATGTGACCGTGAGCCAAGGATAAGAGGTCTAGAGAGGCCATAGCTAGGACACCAGGAACGGACAAAGGAAGTCTAACACATGTATGGATCTGTGTTTCCCAATCAGGATCTATAGATACATTCTCAAGGCCCAGCAAGTGCTCCCTAAGATTTTGAAAAGGCTGCTTTTCTTTTTGATCATCTGAATAAACCATATTATAACTAACCCTGCTGTATGATTTAGATGCTGTATTTTCTTCATATTTGTAGTTGAGAATTGGCACCATGTAATTGCCAAAATGACAGCATTTAACTTTTAATGTGCTGTTAGGCACGTCTGGTTGTCATTGGGTTGGTTGCTCCTAAAGTCAAAATCACAGTAACCATTCCTTGGCTGCCACTGTTCAGCAGATGACTTGTTTACCCAGGAGTCTAAACACTAGCGATGCTCAAAGAACAAAATTGTCCTAAATGACTTTAAAATATGTATTTTAAACTATTTATGTAACAATGATAAGCTCTGGTGCATTTGCTCCTGTGGATGCCTGGGATTTACGTGTCCCGGCAGCATAAGGCACCAAGGAGGTATGAATGACCATAAATGGTCACTACAGAATAACAGCAGTTTCCCTACAACCCCCTTCTCTCTGGCTTTCTGTCTTTCTCTGATAAGATGTGTTGTGGTGCTTCTGGGATATTCGTTATTTTGGCAGGTAACAGCTAAGCAAGTGCTAAAATGTTCAGTTGAAATTTGGCAAATATATTTTACATATCCCATTGTTTCTTCCAAATGCTGGAAAGAAAAAATAAGGGGATGAGTGTATGAAATATTGGGGTGGAGCAGTGTTTTCCATCCTTGTGTGCTTTTGGAATTAAGGCTCTAGAAATATAGGGAATCCTGATGAAGCTATAAACCAGGACATGCAAAAAAAAAAAAAAAATGCCAGAGTGTGCAGGTCAAATTTTAAAAATTGGTTCCAAAGGCATAATTTCTCCTTTGCCATGAAATTTGCCCTCAGAAGGACCTTTCATAGAGCAAGATTTTGGTTCCTTGGTTATTTGATATATGGACTTGTTGATTTGGTTTGCAAGAAAATGGGATGGTGTGGCAGAGTGATCTGTTGTTAAAATGTTGAAGCTGAATGAGAAAATAAAATGGTGAGTTTAATATGTAAATGATGTGATTGTACCATATGATATTATAGTTCATTATATGGAGGAAATGTTTGCAGTTACTGGAATACAGACAAAAGGTTGTAGAATTGGGTTATCATGTGGTAAATGGTGGCATAGATAGGCTGAACTCAAATGACGTTGGTTAGTAGCAGTTAGTTTCAGAGAGTCCATTGTGCATTGTGTTTGGTTTGGGCATGTTAATATTACCTGGTTCTTTCAGAATTACCAATATATTGAAGTGTGTAAGTGTAATCCATGCGGTCAGCTACTTTTGTCTGTTTTATCATTGTATCTCTAGCACTTTCGACAGTATCTGGTACATAATAGATACTCAATAAAAACCTTTTGGAATGAATAAATTTAAATTTTATTGGTTTTATACTTTCATTGTTTTAGTTCATAGATTTGTTTTTGTTTTACAATTGCATAAGAACTTCATGCTTAAGAACTTTAAACCTAGTTCTACATTGTGCACATTGAAATGAAATTAAGATAGTTAAATTCAACCAGAGTCTGTGAAAGTGTTTATTTTTATTGGTGTCTATATCTTACTCTAGTTTGTCAAGCACTGCAATGGAGGAGGAGTAATCAAGTTACAAACTCTGTTTTGTGTGTGTTAGAGGGGAAGAGAAGTAGAAAGTGAAACAAAGGAAAGAGAAAAAGAGAGAGCTTAGACATGAAGCCAAGACTATGAACCTAGGAGTTTCCAGGGACTGACACCATTGCTACTGTAGTGGGTTAAATATTTCCCCCCCCGCAAAAAAGAATGTGAAACCAGAACTGTGAAGGTGACCTTATTTGGAGTAAGAATTTTTGCCATTGTGATTAAGGCAAGGATCTAGAGATCAAATCCTGGATGAGGAAGGGCACTAAATTCAATGATGGGTATCCTCATAAGAGAAAAGGAAGAGACATACAGAGACACAGAGAGGAAGGCCACGAGAAGAAGAAAGCAGAGGTTGGACTGATGCATTTACAAGCTCAGAAGCACCAAGAACTGTGGGCAGCCACCAGATGCTGGAGGAGAGGCGGGAAGCAGGTCCTCCCTCAGAGCCTCCAGAAGGAACCAACCCTGATGACGCCTTCACTTCAGACTTCTGGCCCCTGGAACTGTAAGGGCATACGTTTTTATGGTGCTAAGCTACCACATTTGTGGTAATTACTGCCCTAGGAAGCTAATACAGCAGTGGGATATTGAGATAAACAGAGCCCATCCCTAGAACTGATGAAACACTAATACGCTTGCTTATTAATAAATAATTTATTTACTTACAGAATTTTTAAAAGTAATGTCTCTCCTACGTGGATTCACATTTGAGAAGCTCTGCACAAGACCCTTTAAAAACCACCGAACTCCTACAAAGCAGATTTCTGACACGAAGGGCTTTTTCCTTTTGTTCAGAGCCTCAGTTATCGCCATACACCCCCGCCTCTCCTCCGCGTAGCACACATTGGCTTGAGTGTGCTCATGCACTCCAGGCAAGGATCCTCTTTCATTGTTCCCCTCCTTTGAGGTAAAGAAAGAGCAAAATGAGGTGACTGGTTTGCTAAAGGAGCTATTCCAAATGATTATTGCTAACACGCAAACCCAAAGCCAGATACAATCCCATGAGTCATTCTTGACTAACATTATAATCTGTCCATGGACTTAATAATTGTCATATTTCCATGTGTTGTCTTCTAATCATTAATCTCTTTCTGCATGTGAGGAGTACTTTTCAATGTGGCTGTCCAGAAGTTAAGACTGGAAAGGAGTATATTTTGTCTTTATAGAAGTTTTAAAACTCAATTTAAAAATATTTCCAAATATACCCTGAATATCTAAAATATCAAATAATCATTGAATAAGTGCCACATCCATGAGGGTTTTTTTTTCTTTTTTTTTTCCTGGCAGGAAGATAAATAAATTAGATCAGCATGGGTCCTTCAATCTTCTTTTGAGAAACCTGTACATTCCTTTCCTGTCACA